GATCCCTCTTTGATTGTAGCGCAGAATGGTCATTGGTCTGTAGATAATTGGGTTTGGGGCATTCCTTGGCGCCGCCTTCCCTTCTCATTTGAGTTGCCATTGGTAGCGAGTTTGATGGAAATTCTGGATGAATTTGTGTTGCATCCTCACCTGGAGGATCACTGGTGTTGGTTGATTGATGCTTCAGGGGTATATTCTGTTAAGTCTGCTTATTGTTGGTTGTTGACTCTTTTGGTTAATATTCCGACTCTTGATGTTAATCTTCAGGAGGTGTTGTGCAGACTGTGGAAAGGTAAAGTACCTATCAAATGCTTGGTATTTTCTTGGCAGCTTTTCTTGGATTATGTTCCCTGTAGGTTGCTTCTGCAGGGGTGTGGTGTGTAGTTGGATTCTGTTTTGTGTCCTATGTGTGATTTATTTGTTGAAGATCCAATGCATCTTTTTGTTTTCTGCCCGGACGTGGATGGATGTTTTTTGCTAGCTTAGTGTTAATTTTGTTATGTCTTCTTCTTTGGTGTCCTTTTTTCTTGTTTGGTGTGGCCAAGGGAGGAGTAAAAAGCGATCACAGTATTTTGTTATTATTTGGGTTGCAGTCATCTAGTCCATTTGGTTGCATCGAAAATGTGTGGTCTTTAAACAAGGTGTCACAACAAGAAATATAACTTTTAGTGACAAAATTTTAGTGACAAATATAAAATTTGTCACTATATATATATTATTTGTAACAATTTTTTAATTTACCACAAATACTATTATATTAGTGACCAAATTAAAAATTGTCACTATAATTTTGTTAAAAGTAACAATAACAACATATTTGTCACAATATATATATTATTTGTAACAAATTTTTAATTTATCACAATTATACTAGTGACTAAATTTAAAATTATCACTCGTAATCTTATTAAAAGTAAAAATAATAATATATTTATCACAAATATTATTAACACATTAATGATTAAATTAAAAATTATTAGTATAATTCATATATATATATATTAATTATTATTTTAAAATGATAATAAATTAAAAATTATTATTATAATCTCATTAAAAATATATAAAACGTATATCATAAATAATTAATTATAAAATAAATTATTTAAATAAATAAAGTAAAAATGTTTATGTTGTTATTTGAAACTTGACAATTATAAAACTTAAAACTAATTACCAATATCAAATATACATACCATGGTTTTGAGTTTAATTTAGTTTTATATATTTAATAAATCATATTATTTGTAATTCTTAAATTCAAAATTTATTTCAATAAATAAAAAAATATTTTACCTTATTTTTATATTTAATTAAATTAACAATTTTAATATTAAAATTGAAAAAGTTATTTAAATAATATAAAAAAAAAAAACATTTTGGATTCAACTTTTAACCGTATTTTTAGGGACAAAATTAATTATTAATAATTTTATTCATTATTATTATTAAGTTAACTTATTTTTATTTCTAATGAATAAATAAGATGAAATATAATAATATTTTAAATTAATTGGAATTATTTGAATTTTGTATTTAATAAAAACATATTATTTAATTTGATCCAAATTATTTTTTATTTTTATTGAATTATGTTATTTTTAAATAATTCGTTAAGAGGTGCTACTAAAGGTTTTTTTTTTCAAAGAATAATTAAGTAAAAAAACTTAATGATGACTTTTTATATAATAATTTTTTATATTAGGTAAACTTAATTAGAATAGGAATATTTTTTTTTCTAATAATCTATAAAGTAGATATATTCAATTGAAATATATTTTTTATTGACATATCTTATATCTCTATATTATTTTTTCATAATTTTTTTAATTCATTTTTTAAAGTATTGTCAATACTCATTCTTACTAATTAAATTAATTTAATTTTATATTTAACTTTTTATATTAAATATTTTTATATTATTTTTTAAATAAATAACAATAATTATTCACTTTGATGTAACTAGATCATTTATTAAAAGTTATCTTTTAGAACCATTTACATAATACTAACTATAAATTTATATATAATTATATAATTTATATATACTAACTATATCATTTAATATAAAAAGTCATTTATCATAAAATAAATATAATGTTGTTTTATCTTTTAAAAATATTACTTTGAATTTTCGTTTAAAAGTATTAGTTTAAATTTAAAATATTATGTGAATAAATAATATAAAAAAATAATATTCTTATTTGAAATATAAATTTTATATTTAAAAACTAAGTTAGTTTTATAAATCATTTTGTTTTATCTTTTAAAATCATTAGATTAAATTTACGTTTAAAATAATGTTTAAATTTTTAAAATATTTTAAAAAAATTATAAAACAAATAACATTATCATTTTAATTCTAGATTTTATAAATTATAAAGATAAAGTTAGTTATCGTGTTACACCCTATTTTTATATTAATTTGATTTTATTTTAGAAAATTACAGGTTAAGTTCTTAATTTATAATTTATATTTAAATTAATAAGGAAAATATCTTATTAATTTTAATTATATTTTTTTCTAATATAAATATTTTAATATTTAAATTAAAAAATAATATAAACATAATAACATTTTATATTTAATTATATTATTTAAAATAATAAAAACACATGATAATACTAACCTGATCAAATTGTTGATATTGTTGAACTATATCATCTCCAGATAATTGTCTCGGAGGTGGTCTTTTTTCTTTCTTTCCATCAAAGGCTTTTGCATTATTTCTCCAAGAATGGTCAAGTGGCAAAAATCGACGACTTCCCATATAACAAATTTTTTTTCCATTCGGTAAACTTAAGGACCATGTATCCTCGTTACAACAAGGACAAGCATATTTTCCTTTGGTGCTCCATCCTCATAGATTCCCATATGCGGGGAAATCATTAATAGTCCACAAAATTGATGCATGTAACCGAAATGTTTCTTTCATTGATGCATCATATGTTTCTACACCATTCTCCCATAGTTCTTTCAATTCATCAATCAAAGGTTGTAAATACACATCAATATCATTTCCAGGAGATTTTGGACCAGGAATAAGTGTTGACATTATGAAATAAGGATCTTTCATACACATCCAAGGAGGCAAGTTATAAGGAATTAAAACTACGGGTCACACACTATATGATGTACTCATATTTCCAAATGGATTGAAACCATCACTTGCTAGGCCAAGTCTAATATGTTACCTGCTATAGTAAACTTGTATCTCTTGATCTTCCCTCTTCGATTTCACACATTCTTCACAATTGATTATGTTCTTGTTTGAACCCTAAATTTTATATTTAAAAATAAAACTAGTTTTATAAATAATATTGTTTTAGTTTTTAAAATCATTAGTTGATATTTATGTTTAAAATCATGTTTAAAATTTTAAAATATTTAAATAATTATATAAAATAGATAATATTCTTATTTTAATCCATAAATTTTATATTTAAAACCAAAGTTAGTTTTATAAATAATTTTGTTTTAATTTTTAAAATTATTAGTTGATATTTACTTTTAAAATCATGTTTAAATTTTTAAAATATTTAAAGAATTATATAAAACAGATAATATTCTTACTTTAATCCATAAATTTTATATTTAAAAATAAAGTTAGTTTTATAAATAATTTTGTTTTATTTTTAAAATCATTATTTAATATCTACGCTTAAAATCATTACTTAATATCTACGTTTAAAATCATGTTTATAAAGATAAAGTTAGTCCGTGTTATACCTATTTTTTTAAAAATATTTTTTTAAAATTTGACAATTGTTTTATTTACTGAATTTTTTAGTTATCTTTTCTTATTATTTAATTAATTTAAATCACATCAAAATCTTAATTAATAAATTACAAAAATATTTTTTATATTAAATAGAAAGTATTTTAAATAATGAAATAAGAACATTAAGAAAATCTTAATTAAAAAAATATCATTATTTATTAAAAATTATATTATGATATTTTATTTAAAATTCTCTTGCAATTTCTTTAAAATATAATATTTTATTATTTATTAAAAATTATATTATGATATTTTATTTAAAATTCTCTTGCAATTTCTTTAAAATATAATATTTTATTTATTTATAATAAATATTATGATAATGGAAGGTTGTGGTTTCCAACGTAACGTTTATCTTCTCTCCCACTAGTTGATAACTCGTTCACATGTTGAAATTTGAGCGCTCACATTTTCAGACTCTAGGAATTATTCCTTCTCCGCACAATTTTACGGTTACATGAGAGAAATTTTGGCGCTCACAAATTGCCTCCAAAACGTAGAGTAAATCTCCACCGTAAACCTCTGCAATCAAGTTTCAGCTTAAATCTTCATCGGCAATGAGAATCTCACCATCTCGCGAACGTAAACTCACATCACAATACGTTCCGCAACCCTTCTCACAACCCCAACCCCTGGTAACGTTTCACAACAACCGGTAATATTTGTTTTTTATCTTAGGTTATCATTGTTTATTTAACATTAGTATTACTCTGTATTTTTGATAATTTTGTTTACGTAGAGTGAACCATGTCCAAATACGAAGAACGGAGATTACAAAATATCAAAGAAAACAAAGCAAAGTTAGAGGCTTTGGGATTGACACATAATTTTTATCCTTTGAAAGTCGACGAACTCAAAATATACAAAAAAAGAAGGATAAAGAAAAGCTTGAAGAGGATGATGTAGAATATAAACCAAAAAAGGTCCAAGCTTCAGAAGAAGATGAAAGGGATGATGAAGCAAATGTAAGTACTATTTCTCTTTTTCTTACGTATTTGATTAGTATTTTTGTAATATCTTGTTATTATTTTAATCATTAACTATTTTGTTTTATAGATAATAAGACCAATCAAATTAAATTCTAAAAGGGTGGCCTTAGAGTTCAATCATCCTAATCTTGAAGGAGCTACGGTACTTGTATAACATCTTTTCTAAAATTTTGGATTATTTATTAAAGTTGTACTAATTTGTTTTTAATAATTTATTTTAGACAAACAGGTTTTAAGGAGACGTGGACATACCATAAATGCAAATCTTCAAAAGAAGAGGGCAAAACTAACAACAATGAACAAAAAGTTTGATATCCAATTTCCTCCTCCATATTATAAGTTGTGTGGAAAACACGCTAAATATTTTAAAGTCGAAGCAACGGTATGTATTCGTCAAAAAGCTCCTTTACGAGTTAAAACTTGGAAAGAAATATCCGAAGATGATTTAGCTATAATGTGGAATCATATGAAGGTTAGTATAACTCTATTAATTTAATAAATTTGAATTTTATTTATTATCCTAAATAATTAATGTGTTTTGATCTTGTTTTATTGGTTACTTTTTATGAATGTATAAGGATGCATTATATTTGTTGGAAGAGGATAAAGATCATGCAATGAAACAATTGCAAAAGCAATATAGAAATAGACATTGTCGATTGCATAGAATATATGTTGAAAATAAATGTAGGCCAGAAGATGTGCTTCCAAGTGATTGGAATTGGTTAATAAAGAATAAATGGAATGATTCCAAATTTCGGGTAAAATTTCTTTTATTATATATTTTGAATTTGATTTTATATGTAATTTTATGTCATGATATAAAATGTTTTATGTATTTATACAGGAAAGGAGCTTGAAAAATAAAGATAGTAGAAGCAAACAAGAAATCAAATCAATTACTCGGCACAAAATCAATTGTCCAAAAAGCATTTGAAATGGTAATGTTGTTTTTACATTTATAAGCACAAATTTTATATGATATTTTATTACTTTTTATTTATTTAACCTTGTCTTTGTTTAGAAAGAAAAATTAAAGAACGACGAATGGTCAAATGTCTGTAGAAGTATGGAAGGCTACACGCATGAGATCCGATGGAACATGGTGTATTCCAAATGGAGAAGAAATCATGGTAATTAAAAATAATTTAACTTACACTATTAGTATATTATGACATATTTATAATGTAAATTATTTTTTCTTAATATTTTATAGGACAATTTGAAGAATGTGGGTGAAGTATACAAAGAGGAAATTTGAAGCACCTATTCCATTAGTTAAACACTTTCAATTTGTATTAGGAACAAAACCAAATCACTCACAAGGTATAGGCACCTCATCAATGACCAAAAAAGTTATGGAGAAACAATTTGTTCAAAGTCAATTGGAAGATGAACAAAAAAGAGCAAATGATTTAGAGATAGAAGTACAAAGATTGACTAATACTAATATTCAACTTCAACGTGAATTGCAATCTCAACTTGAAGTTCAACAAGGTTACTATGAAGCAAAATATTGAAAAAGAGATGAAGCGTCAAATGTCTATTTTATTAGGTGGTTTATCATTCACAGGAATATCTAATGATTCAACTGTTCCCTCAAATGAAGTAAGTTGTTTGACTATTTTAATTTTTTCACTAAAATATCTCCAAATTTGTAGTTTACATATTTATATATCTAAAATATTGTTAATTATTTTTTATTAATACTAATTATTTTTTATTTCATTTTACAGGATCAAATTCGTTGAAGATAGTTCAAGTTGTTATTATTATTTTTTTATTTTAGAAATAGTTATTTAATTGTAACATTCTGGACTAAAAATATATACAGATTGTTTATCATCTTTGAATTTAGAATGTTGTTAAATATTTATTGTGTTTTAATTTTTATCATTTATAATGTAATGGATAATTTATGTTTACATATTTGTTTTTATTTATTCATTATAACTAAGCAAACTTAGAAGACTTGTATATTATTTATATTTAATAATTTAATGATTAAATAATAATTTTAAAAATTAATAATAAAATTAAAAATTAATAATAACAGCAAATATTAATATTAAAATTATTCTTATTATTGTTAGTATAAAAAAATATAAATAATAATAATAATAATTATTTTAGAAATTATAATAATGATAAATAATTACTATTATTTATTTGGGACATTAAATTAATAATAATTATTTCTATAAATTATAAATAATAATTAATTTATTATTGTATTTTTAAAATATTTGCGATATTGAAATAATTATTTTTTTATAAATTTTTTATAGTGATAACTTTATTTATCACTATTGTGTATTATATTTGTGACAATTTATTATTATTACTATTATATATAATTATTAGTGTTAAATATTTTTGTTACTATAAAGCTTAATTTTAGTGATATTTAAAAATATTGTTACAATTATATTAGTGACATGGGTATAAGTGACAATCAAATTATTGTTACAAGATATTAATAGTGATGAATTTATAACTTTTAGTGATAAATATTTATATCACTATAATTAATTTTTTTTTTAGTGTGTTGTGGATCGGTTGAAATTGCTTGATTCTATTCGCCTATATTCTTGGAAGTGAATCTCTTCGGCTGGTATGGGAATTTATTGTAACCTTGTAGACTGATACAATAATCCTTGGATCTGTTTTGTTTAGTGTGTTTTTTAATAACTTTTATCTACTTTGTATTGTATTCTATTTTTGGGATCTGAGTACCCCTTGTACTCAGCTTTAATTAATTGATGTTATTTGCTTATAAAAAAATGAAAAAGATAAATAACATCCATATTAATAACATTATAGTATGAAGAAGATGGATGGGACACATATTAATAACATATAGTCTCAAACTTAAATAAGAAATTTAATAATGTATAGTTGAAAAGACATTTAACAATGTATAGTTAAAAAGATAGGTATTTAGGTAATTCTAACTTCATCTTCTATATTTTCTTCATTAATTTCTATTTCAATTACATTTTACATTTCTTTTAAAGGTATGAGATGAAGTAGATAAAACAACTAGCTAAATTTGTTGTAATGAGGTCAAAGTATTAATAGATTGCTTTTCTGTTAGATAAAATTCCATTAGAAAATGGACTTGAGCATACAATTGGGGAAAAAGACATGGGTAAATGACCACCAATTCAGTAGAGTGTATGAATCCTATTTTAAAATGAGCATGAATTTTGCCCCAGAGAGAATCAATGACGGGTCAACATGTATCATGTTCAAAGATATATTAAAAAATTAGAGTTTGATGTCAAAGTTATCAAGTGGATGAGTGCAAAACTACAAAGTCAAATTGAATAACTTGTGTGATTATGGAGAGCTTCGATCTCTCTTACCTTACGGACATTTTATTATCGTATTTTTCTCGTGTCATTTGTATATTATTAATACATATGTTAGTCTAATATTTAAGGTAGATAATATTTATAAAGTTGATGAACATTAATTTTATTATATAAACAATAAAAAAAATACTTGCAACAATACGTGATAAAAACAAAATTGATCGACCAAATCCAAATGGTCTAAAAAATATTTATTTTTTCGTATTAAGATTTATAATTGTGATAATTATCAATATAGACAATAATATTATCCATATATTTTTAATTAAATTAAAAAATATTAATTCAAAACAAAATAAATAATAATAAACGAAGTCGTGAAATATAATATAACTTCAACAATAATATTTAAAACAAATAAAAAAATCATGAAATCGTGTTATATAATAATGATTTTGACAAAAAAAATTAAAAAAAAATCTTTATTGATACAACTTATTGCAAGTCGTGCTTTAAAATATAATTTGCCTAAAATCATAATTATTTTTAAAAATTTACTATTTTTATAAAATATGGTCAAAATTGCACGACTTTACTTAGATTAATATCAGTCTAGGTTGTTAATTACATTTTAATATCTATCTCCGTACTTTTTGTAAGTTTATGTCTTGTGAATTTTTACATTTTTATCCGTACATATAAAATTCTTCGTTCTCTCTTTTTTTTCTCTCTTTTCTTTTCATTTATCAATTTTTTTTCTAGTTCTTATAAATCCTCTTAACTTATTTAATTCTCATTACACCTTTGAGTTGAAGTCTAGAAGTTAGGTTTTATATACTCCAGATATAAGACGAGTTAGCCCGTCAAGAAGGATTTTGTATAGACACTCCTATAAAAAAAAATCATTACATCATTTTAGTCTTGATGCCTCAAACACTTGGGTATTTGTGTAATGTAAAATCCATCCTTCTTCGATAATTGAAACTGCTATAAAAATAAAATTAGAAAAATGATGGTTACACATTTTTAAAATTATTATAGTAAAAATAAATTTAATTTACTTAATTTATAGGTAAATAAGTTTGAGATGAATTAATATAAATTTCTTTGTGATTTATTTTTATTTTATTTTTTATTTTATTATTTGTTGATGATCAGTGTAAATTTGTAAAAAATTGATTTAGTAAATTATTCACTTAACCCATCTATTTTTGTGATTTAAGAAAAAAAGTCAAGGAATAAAAC